TCAGGTCATGATCCTGGAGTCCTGGGATTGAATCCCATACGGGCTCTCCCCAGGGAGCCTGCTTATGTCTCTGCCTCTCTGTGTGTGTCTCTTATGAATAAATAAATAAAATATTTAAAATAGAATAGAATAGAATAAATAAAATAATAAAATAAAATAAATAAATAAAATAAAATAAAAATAAAAATAAAATATAGATGATGGAAGAATGGGTTAAGAACATCCAGAGAGAGGGACCCCTGGGTGGCACAGTGGTTTGGCGCCTGCCTTTGGCCCAGGGCGCAATCCTGGAGACCCGGGATCGAATCCCATGTCGGGCTCCCGGTGCATGGAGCCTGCTTCTCCCTCTGCCTGTGTCTCTGCCTCTCTCTCTCTCTCTGTGACTATCATAAATAAATAAAAAAAAATTAAAAAAAAAAGAACATCCAGAGAGAGAGCATGAGTATAGAAGGATGTAACAGGCTTGAGCAAGGGGAATACATTTGAGGTCCATGAGCAAGACTGAGGTCCAAACTAATAGAAAAGAAGGCATAGGCCCAAGGTAGTTATGTGAGAAGAAGTTTATCCTGCACAGTAATTAAATAAATGTAAATCATTGTAACAATGAAATATTGTAGTGTCAATAATTATTTAGACTTACTAAAACCTGTTTCAACAGAAGGATGAGAAAACTGATTTAGTCACATACTGCTAATAGAAGCATAAATTGGTATAGTTTTTCAAGAGGTCTAATTGGCAAAATAAGGTAAAGTCCTTAAATATGTATAGCCTAAATTACTCTTTGAGTCTACCTTCACATCTTTACAGTACTGAAAAGGTACTTAAATTTACGACAGGAAGAACCTAAATGAATTGTGACCAATCCATATATTCTGTTACCAATATTCAAGTTGAAAATCATTCGGTAGTTGACCACAGAAATCCACGTGTCTTTACAGTCTTTCAACAAGTATTATATTAGTTGAGCTCTGTAGAAAGGAATCTTCTTTATTTTTGAAACAAAGTCAACTCAGGCTTTACTGTAGAATAAGGGAGCCTGAACTCTGCATGAGTTCTTATATCGTGATGTAATGCCTCTCTTGAGTGTTGAGAGAGCATTTTTGTTTCTTTATAATATTGTTATTGGCAAGCCCATTACTGCTGTATAATAACAATACTGAAGTAATGCCGTTAGTTTCTTGATTTCTTAAATTGAGTGTAAAATTTAGAGTCATAACATTTAAATTATAAATAAGAATTACATGTGGTATTTATGCAGCTAGTGAAAAAACAAAAACCAATAAGACATTTCACTTATCAATTTGGCAACTATTTTTATGACTTTATTGAGGTCTAATAAGCTGCACATAATGTATACAGTTTGATCAGTTTTGACATATGAACTGTTTTTACTTAACAGCACTTCTGACACCAAATACATGGGGATTTTTTTTTTTTCCACATACCAACCAATTCTCCAATTTTCCAGACACCAGTTGGGTGTCCTACAGTTCGGCTCAATTCTGATACTACCCAGAATTAACATAGGACCCCCACAGATAAGGACTCAATCCCAGAAGACTGCCCCAGTTCAGATGCCTGTCACAAGTCACATGCTGCTCACCTGTACTTCTCACCAACTGGCTATAAATATAGGGGGTTTCCACAACCCTCTCCTCAAGGTTGATCATTTGCTGGAATGGCTCACAGAACTCAGGAAGATACTTTATTTACTATCACTGGTTTTTAAAATAAAGGATATAAAACGAACAGCCAGATGGTGAGGTGCATAGGGTGAGGTCCAAAAGGTACTGGAGCACAGCAGTTGGCATTGGGGTACACCACCCTCCCAGCACATGAATATCTTCAAACCTCGGGAGCTCTCCATGCTTCATCATTTAGGGGTTTTGTATGGAGGTTCCGTTATATAGGCAAAGTTAATTAAATCATTGTCCATCTCTAGCCTCTCTCACTTCCCCAGAGGTCAGGGGGTAGGGCTGAAAGTACTTTTTTTCTTATTTTGGTATTATTGTTTAAGAATCTTCTTACTTATCTGTACTAACAGAAAACAGAGGCAAAGATTTTTTTAATAATAATTTCCAATTCCAAAATAGGAAGAAAAGGCACTTTCATATATTAATATGGGAGTGTGAAATTCTTAGTTTTTTTTGGAATTGTACCAATTTGCAGCAAATTGTCAATGTCAATAAAACCTAAAATGCATATTGTTTGAACTAGCAATTCTGCTTCTAACTTAAATAAATTTTCTTGTAAACAAGGATTTAAAAATAAAAATGTTCATTACTGTGTTGTTTATAATTACAAAAATTTGGAAACAGATGTCCAACAATATAGACTTGTTTAAAGAAACAATTCATATGGTGAAACATGCCTTCATATTAGTAGTAGAAGGATATTGTTTTATAAACAACAGGATCATATGGTATTCCTTTTTTTATTTTTTATTTTTTTAATTTTTTTCATATGGTATTCCTATGTCTTAACATAGTTTTTCAACTCAGCAACAAAAAAGTTCATGCAAAAAAGACTAAAAGCATATATTTAAAGCAAAATGTTAATCTAGTTTCCTCTGATTAGTAAAATTTATTTGTATTTTTTCCAATGCATGGTTTCCTTCTTATTGAAATTTCTTCCTGATTATAAAACTAACACAAAGGCATAAAGTCAGTCCATAAAATCAGATATATTAATCTGAGCTATATAAATTATTTTTTAAAAATAACAACTGTTTTATGTTTTGATGCTATCAGGATAAAGTCCTTGGAGCTTGGCCCCTACCTACCTCCGCCTTTACCTTTTGCAGTTCCCACCTCTCTCTTCATGTGCTAGTGGTAAGGAACTGCCTGAGGCTTACTGGCATCCGTGCTCTGCTGATCCCTGCTGTTGTCTCTCTGCCTTCAGTTCTTTTCCTCCTGGACTTTATTCTCCTTCTCCCCTGAAATCTGCTGTCAGTGTCATGTCCAAGAGCCTTTCCTGAGCTCCTTGTGCTTCTTCCCCATTCCCACTGCTCTCTAGATCCATCTTTATTGAGGCACTTTCCGCATTATATCATCCCTTTTCATTTTCCTGTCCCAACAGATTGAACCTGATTGGAGGTCAGGACAGTACTGGTTACGACAGTACCTGAAAGCTAACTGTGTGTGTGCATGTACGTGTAACTGAATGATAGGGATAAAGATGTGATGGGATCAGACAGTGTGGAGTATTGGAAGAAGTGTGAATATATCTGCATGACTAGGGCAAGGGATCTTCATGAGGAATTTAGATGAGAATAGAAATCTAAGGAGGAGCTAGATGATATAAGGAAGAGCCATTTGTCATCCAAAGGAGTTTGGATTTAATAGTCTAGTGATGGGAAGCCAGAAAAGATGTTAAAGTAAGAAAATGGCTAGCCTTAGCAATTTTTGAAGTGTTATTTGTTATTAATGTTATGTAAAAAAAAAAAGAGGATATAGAATTATTGAATCAGTATGTTATCCACTTGAAACTAATATAACACTGTATATTAAATATATAGGATTAAAATAAAATGAAAATGAAAAAAAATTGAGTGTAAAATTTGTGAAGTCATGGGTTAAACCAAGTTGAATAGATTTTTGTTCTTCTAAGCTTCTCAGTCTTTACTATGCTAATGTAAATGCTAATGTGCATTTTTAATCTTCCAGAAGGTAGGGGTATGTATGCACAATATCATTTGCGTTATTTCCCAGATTTATTATCATGGAACACTTCTATTTAGGGCTATGTTCTAGACATTTGGGGAAATGGACACCAGGGAGACTAGCAGCAGTGAAACCTTTTTAAAAAGATTTTATTTGTTTATTTGAGAGAGAGAGAGAGAAAGAGCATGAGTGGGGTGAGGGGGAGAGGGACAAGCAGACTCCCCACTGAGTGGGGAGCCCTGTGCAAGGCTCAATCCCAGGACCCTGGGATCTGACCTGAAGTCAGATGCTTAACCGATGGAGCCACCAGGCACCCAGCCAGTGAAACCTTTTGGTGATTGTTACGGTAGTCCAGGTGAGAAACATTAAAAGCTTGAATCAGAAGGTTAATGATGGGAGAGAGAGAGAGAGGGAGAGGGGCAAGAGCACGGGAATTAAGTTGTGTCTGTCAGAGCACATCTCCAAAAGTGGTGAATTCTCAATAATTTTAAAAGATAGCATGATTTGAGAGTTGCTAATATTATTGATCCAAAGACATTAGAATACGCAGTGTGAAATGTGGTTTGAAACATCCCCGAGACAAATGGTAGTCAAAGGAAAGGGCTTCTTTTATGTTTACAATCCTACTAACTGATAACATAGCCCTAGGCTCACTCCTCTTTATCAGAACCTGTCCATGGTCTGGCTTGAACTAAAGCACTTAATGATGAAGGAACAAATTCTAGACTGGATATGATAACTGCTTATTTATGGGTGAGTCAGAGATGGTTGTCAGGAGTGTAGGTTGGACAACTGAGCAGATAGATGGTGGTATCATAATGAGATTAACAAGACAGGAGTCAGTGCTAATTTTGGGAAGAAGATAACTCTGTCACTTTTTGAAATGCTCATGAGTTAGAGTTGTCTGTGGGACACCCTTATGAGGAAAAGAGCACCTGTAGGCCATCAGGTTTATGAGTGTGTACCTCAGATGATGTGAACTGATCCAGCCTTCATTTTACTTACTGTTTCTCAATTGCTGCATGTGTTAGGGGTTTCGTGTCTCTTTAGGAGATGATAAAATTGTAAATTGCAGGTTAAAGACCCAGCACATTCCTAATCTTTTTAAACTTCTGATTTGGGAATATTTTTTTTGGGGGGGGGAATATTGAAACATATTCTTCACCTCTAAATTCAGGCTACGATGGCCTTGGCAGGTCTGAGGAAGATGTTTGACAGTGTTTCTTACTGCTTTGTTACTAAACCAAGTAAAATCATTAAGTTAATAATGCTATAACATGTTTCTATTTTAATAATTTTAAATGTAATAATAACAGTGTTCCTTCATTTTATTTATAGCTCCAAAAGGAATTCTTCATTTGTCTCCTGATGTTTATCAAGAGATGGAAGCCAGCCGCCACAAAGTAATCTCTGGCACTACTCTAGGCTATTTGTCACCCAAAGATATGAACCAACCCTCAAGCTCTTTCTTCAGTATATCTCCCACATCGAATAGTTCAGCTACAATTGCCAGGGAACTCCTAATGAATGGAACATCTCCTACAGCTGAAGCCATAGGTTTAAAAGGAAGTTCTCCTACTCCCCCTTGTTCTCCAGTACAACCTTCAAAACAACTGGAATATTTAGCAAGGATTCAAGGCTTTCAGGTATGAATTAAAAGCAAAAACAAAACCAAGAAAACAAATTCATTAGCCCCAAATCCTTCATCTCTATCCATCAGAAAGCTCATCCTTGCCTGCTAGTGTGACCTATATGCCACTTACATTGTAAAGTATTAGGAACACAGAGGTCAGAAGAAAGAGAGCCATATGCACGTGCCTCATTTTCTTTTATTTTCATTCTACGCATTCATCTTTTGCTGCCTGGCTCTCCTCCATTTTCCTTCTTCTTCCTCTTATTTTCTTTTTAAACATTTTTAATTCTCTGTTCTGTCTTCCAGTTGGTCTTGATTGGGTGCATTTATCTCCTCACTCTGTCTTCCACAAACAAAAATTCTGCCTTCATACATTTGGTATTAGTCTTTAGCACTAAGTTCTCTCTCATTTACAATAAGGCTAAGTTTTTCTAATAATGATTTTACTTTCATAGCAGTTCTGAAGTTGGCATTCTATTGCTAGTAATGATTCAGGTATACCGTGAAGGTACAACATCTTAGAACTCTATTATCTTAGAAGTTAACTAAACATGGTATTAGAACAATAATGACATACTTTCTAGTTGTTTGAGGCATAAAAACATGTATTTGTTTTAGTGGATCATGTTTTGAACCGTCTAGGGTAGCACCTGTCTCATGGTACTTACTAACAGTTCTGTTTCATTAGGCAGTCTAACTCCAGCTCACAGCTCACTGAACTTGTGTATATGAGTTTGGGGATGGAAATTTTTTTCCTTATTTATTCTTTGTTCCTTTTTAAAAAACCCAGCAAACCCAACAGTCCTTTCTGGATAGAGCTTTTAAAAGAATTGTTAACTCTAGGGAGAGGAAATACCTATGTTCTGATTTCTTAGTTGCCTTGAAAATCATGTACTGAACTGTAAATGCTGACCTGACCGGATGAACAGCCATGTGCTCATGCGTAGAAAGAGTGTACTGCACCCTCAGATTTCACTGTTTTCATCCCCTTTTCCATCTTAGTCTTATTCCTTAAGACCAAAAACTGTAATTTCCTTTAGAAATACTCTAGAAGCTCTGTATTGTGTAGAATAATCATGTATTTATAAACATTTTACAAGTTTAGATATAAATCAGAAAGAAGATCATGTGTTTTGGCAGGTATTTTGCATGTTTTTTTTTGTTTGCCTTCACAGAAACCCGATTCTTTCAAATCTATGCCAGGTAATTGTTAGTGTTTTTAATTAGACTATTAATATGAAATTGAAGAAGCTGTTACCAATTATTGGCTCTGTCGTCTGAAATTTTAAACACTTAATTTAAAGTTAAAATTTTAGAATTTGTTTTTGTTGTTTACCTTAAGAATGACAATAAATCACTGTTTAAAATAAAAAGACCTCGATTCATACAGTTAAAGTACTGGAAAAAAGCTAATAATTTTTAGTTCTATCTATAATCTGCACACAATGAACTAGAAATAAACTGTGATGAAAATAAATTCACTGCTTATTTACAAATCTAGTTATCTAGAAATGTCTGAGAGTAACACTGCATTTTTATAGAAACAAAGCACAAAATACATTTAAGCTCTGAATTGATTTTTTTGCTTGGAGATGTTATGGTAGATGTAATTTTGCTGCCACAGGAACTACTTAAATTTTTTTATTTGTATTTATTTGTTAATTCTTGGTAATGATAACAATTATAATTTTATAATTACTTTAGTCAAAATGTAGAGTCTGTTTCCCCCATTATTGAGCTGACTACTCAGACCTCTTTTTAAAGCTTATGCTAAGATAATATGCTCTTATTTATGGACAAGTTAAACATTTCCAAATTTGTGTACTGTGATTTTTACATACTAATGAATATAAACAGATGGTTTTAAAACATTACTGTGCTTTTCTGGTCGAATGAGCTCGGTATTGATGTGAAATACTGTGTCACTGATAGATCGCAACCTGCATCTGAGCAGTGAATAGAAGCTTGTGGGAAATGACTTAGTGTCCTATCAGGCACATAGCATATCTTCATGATGTCATGGTAAAAGGTTCTTTGTAGTTAAGAGTTTTGAAGCCTATTTCTTTATAGGTAACTTTCTCAGGTATCTTTACCTGGTAGAAAAACATGTAGACTGTTTCTCTTTCTTAAATGTTTCAATTGAACTATAGTTAGAAATTATAGGGCCAGCTTATTATGGATTACATGCTATTCTGTTATTTTTATTTCTGGAATTTAAAAACAATAAATTCTTTTTCTGTGTTTCTAGGTTAGTACTTTTTTATTTTGTTACTGTACATTGAATAGATACTATTGCTTATTGAATATTGTATAAACCCTTCTTTGGCCATCCTTCCCCATTAAAATTTGACTTAAGCCTATCAGAGCCATTGTATGTGACAGCTATATTGTATTACAAAGTGAAAATATATTAGTGTACTGAAAACTAAGTTGTTTTAACCTTTAAATTTTTTTCATTACCCAATCTTTAATTGAAATTTATAAATTACAGAAAGCTTATTTGCTTACTAGAATGTAGATATTAAGCTCACATCCTTTGCTTAATCTACAGAATAATTAAAATTATTATACAATTAAAGTTATTAATAAAGCTGACTTCACAGAGCAGAATGTGACTGAACACTTGCACATTCTTGGTTAATTCTTTTCATCATTGCTGGGCTTACCTAAAGTTTTTATCATGTTTTAGATGCAAGTTTTTGGATTCCAGTCATAAATAAATACGTGTCTCTTTGAAATTTTATTGGGTGTATTTTAACTATCCTCTTTTAAAACCTGAATATTCTTATTGTTTTATTATTTTTTTGAAAGTTTAGAAATTTTATGTCAGTAGTTCTGTGAGCCTTAGATTTTGTCCAGCCCAGTCAGTATGCTTCTATAACTTCAGTGCTTTTCACAAAAACTCATTTGAAATTTAATTATACCAAAGTGTTTCAGGGTTCTTTGTTATGTACCTTGATACTCTTTAATTATAATGCCAAACCTGTTTGGCTTTTTAAGGACGATTATTATGACAGAGACATTCTTGAAATGTGGTACACATGAACCAAAGTGGAAGACTTTGTTCTGTTGTGTTATAATTTACATTTTTCTAAGTTTTTATAGCCTTAATATGCTTTGCCATACTAACGATATTAGAAATTTCAATTTGCATAATTAAATATAGGCAATTCCTTTGTCTTTTGGTTCTTGTACCAGCATATGTATAGGGATGAGGTGGTTCCCACAGGACACCAAATAATTCTCTGGATACCAGCAGCGTATCTGAGAATTCAGCTCAGTTCTGATACTGTCTCCATGGAGATAGCATCACACAGGACAAGGGTTCAGTCCTACAAGATCCCATCCCCCGCCAACTATGGATACCTGTCAAGCCCAGGTTGCTACCTGTACTTTTGACTGACCGGCTATAAATCAGAGATCCACACCACTTCTTCCTCCTCAGGTTCAATTAATTTGCTAGAGTAACTCACAGAACTCAGAGGATTTTACTTACTAAGTCACCAGTTTATTGTGAAAGAATATAAATTCAGTGCAGCTGGATGGAAGAAATGTCTGGGGCAGGGTATGTGGAAGGGACACAGAGCTTCCATGCCCTCTCCAAGCATGCCACTTTCTCAGCACCTCCATGTGTTCACCAACCCAGAGGCTCTCAGAACCCTGTCCTTTTGGGCTTTACACAAGGAGGCTTCATTATATAGTCCCGATTGATTAAATCATTGACCGTTGGCATTGATTCCACCTCCAGCCCCTCTTTCCTCCCCTGAAGTCAGGGGGATGGCCTGAAAGTTCCAACCCTTGAATCAATTTTTGGCTCCATTGGCAATCAACTCCCATCCATAGATGCTTTCAAAACTCACCTCCTTAACATACAACTCTGGCACTTTCAATACTTAGAAGTTTGGGGAGCTAGTGTGAGAGAAAAGGGTTGAAGACCAAATAAATATTTCTTATAAATCACAATATCACACTTTATTTAAATGAGTACTAGAAAAGTAATTTGATTAGAAATGAAAATGTATTCTTTTAGCAAATTATCCTTTCTCGATGAATTTAATTTCAGTTTGCTATTCTGTGCCCTTTTTTGTGATGATCATCCATTGAACAGTGTGGATTTTGAAACTTTCAGAGTGAAATATAATAAACTAGGTTTGTTTTTTTTTACATAGAGAATATAAAGAAACAGTTGTCTTAGTTAAGCCATAATTAGTTTATTTTACAAAATCAAGGAATGTTTTATAGAAGGACTTTTTATTATTGTGAGTTTTAGATGGTCCATTTCCAGAAAGATGAAAATGTCAGTAGAAAGCTTTGAAATACCTACTTAAATTAAAAACTTTCTTTTCAAATACAAGTCAAACTTAATAAATTTCAACTGATATGTCTCCTTTTGTGAAGCTTAATATGATTTTGGCAGCCTTCTTTTATAGTTATAGGCTTCTTTTAAATATTTATTTTAACATATATGGCATATAACATTTTAACAATATGACCTCAATATAGATTACATTGAGAATATAGTAACTGGCTAATCTGAGAATCAACCTTTTTTCTTTCCCTTATTAAAATCTTCCCTATGCCTCATTTTTTAATCAAATATTTATCATCAAAGTGGCTACTTGCAGCTTTTTTTTTTTTAAGAATGAGGGATCATTTTTTTTCAAAGAGCAATATAAATTAAACTTTGTAGGTTTCTAGTAGCAGAATATGGAGAAAGAAATTATGCATATACACATTCTCTCCCACTTAGAATTGTTTTTCTCCAATTTTAAATTTATCCTTGAAACATAACTTATTGTGTCACTTCTGAGCCTAAATTTTCATCTACACTGTTACACAAATGGCTATATGAAGTGAAGTGAAGTTATTCAGAGTACAATGAGTAAAACACATTTATGGGTTTGGCATGAGGTCAACAGATTCTGCTCTGATTTGCAGTCACTCTTTAAAAATCTCTCTTGGATTTGGCCTTTACCACTCTGCAAAGACCTTGGAGAGCTTGGTTTAGTATTT